CAGACAGAGCCTGGAGCCTGTTTCAGATTCTGTGCCTCCCTCTCTCTGACCCTCCCCCGTTCATGCTCTGTCTCTGTCTCAAAAATAAATAAATGTTAAAAAAAAAAAAAGTATAAGGCAAAAAAAAAAAAAAAAGGTTCAAGTTAAGGGGAAAGGCCCCTTGATGGCCTGCCAGCCTGCTCCTAAGTGCTTTTCCTTAGATGTTGACATCACAGTCCTGCAGCAGGACCCACTTGAGCAGGTCCAGGGTAACCTCATCTCTGCTGGCAAGTGTCCCCTTGCAGCCCTCTCCAGACAGGAAGGCTGGCATGACTTATCCCCCACTGAAGGATGATACCTAGGACTTGGAGCATGTTGATAGGAAGGCACGAGCCCAGGAGAGTGACTGACTGAGAAGTCTCTGTCCCCTCGAATTGGAGTTTATTGGCAAGAAATAATAGGCTGAAGCCAATCGGGGCTGCACAGTGGTCCACACGTCCAGGTGGGGCAGCCCAGGAACAGTGTGCACTGTCGAGCGGTCAAAACAAGCAGATCAGAAGGTCAGAGTCTGGTTCAGCCTTTAAGTGTAGACTCAGGGTGAACTCCAGAGTGTCACCGCCCACAGCTATAGCCCAGCTGGTAACTGCCTATGCAATGCAGAGGATTTTAAAATGTATTTATTGCACCAACAACAGACAAAACAACAGAGATCAAGTATCTAACCCTTTCTCCTTATAATGCCTTAGTAGGACACTTCTGGAGAGTGGATTTTTTTTTAAATGGATGGTTGTTCTTTACTTCAAGCAGTATACCCACTACTGAAAACTTGTGTGTAACTGAGCCCCACACAAACTAAGTCCTTCCTAAGACGCACCAGACAACAGACGCTGTTTTCAGCTCTTAACTGCATTTGCTTATGAGTCGTCAGAAGCCCCGGCGGTAAGTATTACTGATATCCTTTGATACCTTCATTTTGCAGGTGGAAAACCAACGTAGGGTGAAGAATGTGCCCGAGGTGGCAGGGCCGGATTCGGACTGGGCAGCCAGGCTTCTGAGCGATTGTTTCTAACCGCAGGCCACACTGCCTCCCAATGGACTAATGGGGAGCTGGTTTCCTGGCAACACGTGTCCCTCCCAAAGACAGTTTATAAAGATGCATTGTCGCACATGGTCCGTGGTCGTGTTTAATGTGAACCATATTCCACACTTAAAGCCTCTAATGGAAATAAATGCTTACTTCCTAATAAATCATCACACAGTTAAGACAGGGCTGAACTCATAAAGAAACCCCTGCTGGCCTCCCTTTTGATGGATGCCCATATCCATTCCCCCTTCTTCTTTTCTAGAAAAACCCCAAGTAGCTTTGGGCAGCAATATTGCCAGATGAAAATATCTATCTCCTTACAAAGGACCTACCAAAACGCCTCAGCTGACATCACGCTTAATAGTAGAGACTGAGTGCTTTCACCTGATGATTGGTGAGAAGATGAGGATGTCTGTCGTTACTTGTATTTGACCTTGTACTACAGATTCCAGCCAGGATAATAAGGCAAGAAAAAGAAATGAAAGGTGGAGAGATTGGAGAGGAATAAGGAAAACTGTCTTCGTCCAAAAAGACGTGATTTTCTGTGTAAAAAACCCTAAGGAGTGTGTAATAAAGCTACTAAAATGAATCCTCAAATTAAGTAAAATCACAAGATTTGGGGGAAAAAGAAACCAACTGATTTTCCATATTCCAGCAATAAACAATTGGTACTTGAAGTAAAAACGCCATTGCAATGGCATCAAAAATATGAAATACTCACAGATACATTTTACGAAGCACATGCAATACCTGTGCATGGGAAGTAAACGGCATTTCAGGGGGGCACCTGGGTGGCTCAGGTGGTTGAGCGTCTGTCTGACTTCGGCTCAGATCATGATCTCGTGCTTTGTGAGTTCGAGCCCTTTGTTGGGCTCTGTGCTGGCAGCTCAGAGCCTGGAGCTTGCTTCGGATTCTGTGTCTCCTCCCCTCTCTGCCCCTCCCATGCTCATGCTTTGTCTCTCTGTCTCCCAATAATAAATAAACATTAAAAAAAATTGAAAAAAATTTTTTTAAAATACAGCCTGATCTAGCACGGGCCTTTTTTCCTTTGTCCACCTCCCATATCTCTGCTTACCTATCTTGTGAGTGTAAGAACAGGTAAAATCAGGGGCACCTCGCTGGCTCAGTCGGTTGGGCGTCCGACTTCGGCTCAGGTCATGATCTCACAGTCCATGATTTCGAGCCCCGCATCGGGCTCTGTGCTGACAGCTCAGAGCCTGGAGCCTGTTTCAGATTCTGTGTCTCCCTCTCTCTCTGACCCTCCCCCGTTCATGCTCTGTCTCTCTCTGTCTCAAAAATGAATAAACGTAAAAAAAAAAAAAATTTAAAAAGAACAGGTAAAATCACACTAAGGAGTTATTTTAAGGTTGCTGTAGCACATTACCACAATCCTGGTGACATAACACAACAGAAATGTATACTCTCACAGTTCTAGAGACTAGAAGTCAAAATCAAGGTGCTGGCAGGGCCACGCTCCCTCCAAAGTCCGCTTTGTCTCTTCAGGGGCATCCTCACAGAGCTACTGGCCGGGCCAGGAAGGGCCACTCCCCTCCTTCACCAGCTCGGTTCACATCTCCACCTTCCCGCCACTCCTCCTGACTTTCTGTCTTGTCTTTCAGGAGTGGGGCAGGGGCTCAGGGAGGAGGGTCTTTACATATTTTTTCTGCCTTCTCATATTTTTTACGTTTTCCTTTTTAAAAATCTTTTTTTAAATACATTTTTTTATTAAAATTTTTTAATGTTTATTTATTTTTGAGATAGAGAGAGAGAGAGACAGACAGAGCATGAGTGGGGGAAGGGCAGAGACAGAGGGAGACAAAGAATCTGAAGCAGGCTCCAAGCTCTGAGCCGTCAGCACAGAGCCTAATGTGGGGCTCGAACCCACAAGCTGTGAGATCATGACCTGAGATGAAGCTGGATGCTTAACCAACTGAGCCACCCAGGTGCCCCTATAAATCTTTTTAATGTTTATTTATTTTTGAGAGAGCAGGAGAGAGACAGAG